GAAAATATCCTGTTATTCAAATGATTTGAAATTCAGTATTTTCTGCAATCGATCATTTTTCTATGATTGGGGTATGATCAAAATTCAAAAGTATTTTGACTTTAGAGCATGGTCAAACGTAGTTAATCATTTTTTCAACTTCTTTCCCAGTTCCATTAATTTATCGAGTACCGCATACTGTATATACGAGGGTTCTAACAAAAGTTCTCAGAGTAGCAATGAAAATGGCCTACAGTTGAGCTAAAAAAAAATTTATTCTTTAGGGAAAACATATTCTTCGGCACACAAAAAAATATCAGCCCTGTTTGACAATTTTTTTGAATTTTTTCATAATTCATCCTGGCAGAGTTTTGCTCTCCACTCAAAAGATGAGGCGCCCTTTTTTTGTTGTAGCCCTGCTTTGCCCTCAGAATTTTTGAAATCAACTTGGCATTCTCTCTCTAAGGGTTGTCTCCAGGTCATCCAAGGCAATTCCGCCATTTTCATCAACAGCCCCCAAAGTAAACCGATCCTAAGAAAATCTAACTTATTGTCTTAAAATTCGAGTCTCAGTTCCTTTTCGTCTTATCTTGAAGAGTGAAATGCTGCAAATTTTCAAATTTTACAAAATTGTCGCATTAAATTCATCTTGTTTATGCTTTGCATATTAAAATACTGTAGTACTGTGAGATTAATTTTGAGCTTGACTTCAAGTTAATTTTTGAACTTTCACTTTTTCATTGCCTTGCAATAACGAGAACTTAAAAAATCTCCGAAAAAGTGTTTTTCGGATTTCTGACTCATAAAAATTAGGGAACGTTCTGCAATCTATAGAGTTGAGAAAATTTGAGTTTAAAATGCTATATCGAAAACCGTGCCACCGATTTAGTTGCTAAGGCCTGCATATCTTATCTCTATACCCATTGAATATGACTTTTTGAGTTACCACATGTTTATGGAAGTCATCTTGGAGATGAGATATAGTAGAGAAATATTATTTAAACACGTAATGCAAGAATTTCGTGGAGCTAACGTATTATTTTAGGTTGAGAATATAATTTTACACGCCGTGCCCGTTGAGAAATGTTGGAGTGTTTTTTTTTTTTTTACAGAAGGCATATCTCTGCCAAAAATATCTATAAATTTTCTGTGGCTTATGAATAAAGTTGCTTTTTTCGTCATTGCTGCTCACAAACTGGATACTGTCTACGTATTTATTTACATTTAATAAATACGATACGTTTTCATATTTTTCTCATGCGATTCACGTTAGTTCTGGGAAGCAATGTTCGACTTGTTTCGGACATCGAATTATTCAGAGCATTACTTCTGTTCTGAACGATTGGCGGGTGTGACCTTATTCTTCGTCATCGTGGTCGTCATTGTCTTGTGGATCTGGTTGTGGAACGTCGTGTCAGCCAGTTACAGGATGGCGTTAGCAGGAGCGTTCATCGCTGATTATTGGACTGTCCGTGGAGATGTCGCCTCTAGACGTGAAGTGTGTTCCGCCGTCTGTCTTTTGCCACGGTACTGCAGTTGACCATTGTTCCCTGTCATCGTCTCATGAATCTTGATATACAGATTACTTAGGGTAGAATCATGCTCTGAAGAGAATCATACTACAGTAGTGACATTGTCCCAGAAATTATGAACGGTACAGTACAGTACCGTATTCGAAAGTAGAGTAGTTTATAAAAGATGAGGTAGGTGTCGCTCGCTCACAATTATATCAGCACGAAAACATCCGGAGAAAAACTGTTAGGTGCTAATTACATCTGAACAGAAATTTACTGTTACGTTATTTATCTGAAATGCACTTCTGTTTCTTCGAACTTTTCCTATCGAAGACTTATTCGGTAAATTTGTTTATTCTTCATAAATAAAAAATATTAATAACTAGATTTGCAAGACACTCTGAAAAAATGTTTCCTTTGTTTTTTTATTGCAGGTATCATCTCGGTACGGCTGTTGTAGGAGCGCTGTTCTTGAGGNTGTTACGTTATTTATCTGAAATGCACTTCTGTTTCTTCGAACTTTTCCTATCGAAGACTTATTCGGTAAATTTGTTTATTCTTCATAAATAAAAAATATTAATAACTAGATTTGCAAGACACTCTGAAAAAATGTTTCCTTTGTTTTTTTATTGCAGGTATCATCTCGGTACGGCTGTTGTAGGAGCGCTGTTCTTGAGGATGAGCTTGATGCTGAGGAAGTCAATCGAATGGGCTCACAACATCAGTGGAAGAACTGAATCAATGGTCAGACGTACAATAAGTATATGAGGATCTATTTCCAGATTTCCGCACCAATAATATGTATTTTTATTNGCTGTTCTTGAGGATGAGCTTGATGCTGAGGAAGTCAATCGAATGGGCTCACAACATCAGTGGAAGAACTGAATCAATGGTCAGACGTACAATAAGTATATGAGGATCTATTTCCAGATTTCCGCACCAATAATATGTATTTTTATTCTAGGATAAAAACTTATCATTTTTCATCTCTTATTTGAATATTATTTCAATATCTGATATTACGGTAAATTAATCATGAGGTAAATTTTACTGCTATACTGTACAGTATACTGCGCATAATATGGCGCTGAATCAATCAAAATACTGTACAGTACAGTATATTACTCATCCAGATAATTTTAAAAATACTGTAGGTTGGAGCGACACTGTACAAGTGTATGTGATACACTGTATTTCTGAGCATCAGTAACTTTTGTTCAATTCGATCAACTTGTCAAATGATGAATCTTTCTTAGTTCATTTTCTTTCGTGTGTCCCATGCATATTATGACGAATATATCTTAGAAGTCGTGACGCAGCACTCATTCAATCTATGCTTTAAATTCCTCATCGATCGCGTGGATGGGATTTTTTAAATTTTAAATAAAAGAAATAATTCGTAAATAAATGAATTAATTAACGCAATGTTCTGCGATGGAAACGATTTTGAGGGTTATTATTGTTTATGGAGTTTCAAAATGTATACGATGGACTACCGCTGTGAAAAAATCTCATTGTTACACATCATGTAACTATTCTAAGCCGCCTTTCTTGAAGACCGGAAGAACCCGTCGTTATGACGAAAAATTACTTTTAGTGACTTGGATACACAGTTTTGAGAATAAAAGTCTCGAAAAGGAATTCCTTCTGAAAATTAGTTTCACTGTACTGTTAGATGTACTGTATTATTCATGCGGGTCAGATGGGGACTTTCTGTGCTTCATATTCCCAGCCTAGACGGGGACTTTTTCCAGCAGTAAGTCAGGGATTGAAAACATTACTTTCGATGTTTTGTTTTCAATTTAGTTGGCAACAATTTTCTCGACGTTATGCGAGTGCTGCTTTAGGTTCTACGACGTGGGACTGAGATTCAAAAGCAGTCGGGCTTATTCCATGACCATGATGCAAGGATCAAGTTTTTGCTTATCGTCTCGGAATGCTTACCGTGTCACGCAAACGAATATAGATCCATGGATAGCCGAAGGACTGGTTCGTGAAATTCTCTTATTTTGATTCTCATTTATTTATGCTTATAACTACAGTATTTCTATGAAGACCAAAAATGCTTAAGACTTTCTTCAAGTCTTTTAAAAATCTCTTTTTAAAGTAATCCCTCTTTAAAGTTAGATAATTACTCTCCAGAAAGATTCGGGGCCATTTCCCGTATAATTGTCCTCCGTCGATACAGATACATGCTGAACTGCCTAAATTAATGAAGCAGCCTAATTTTCATTATTATTTCCTTGAGGATAGTTAAAATAAAATGAGAGAGGTAAGAGGGACATTCTTCTTTCATTTCCTCCAAGTGAGTCTTATAGAAAACCACCGGACTCGTCAATATATTGCTTGCGTGGATTAATTCATTTACTGAACCTCTCAATTGCAAAGGCCAATTTGAAGGGACTCAAAAAAATTGACAGAGATTTTGAGTTACGAACGTTGGTTTCATTTAAATAGATTGATGCATGAAAATCCTATTCTGGCCAAATTATTAGAACTGTTCATTCATCATAGATGTTCCACAAGTAAGAAGATGTCCAAGCTCTTTGTGAAGCGCATGAAGAGAATAATGTATGTGCATTTTTTTCTTTCATTTCAAACTTAATCTAAAATTTAGCTTTAATAATTCAAAGCCGAAAAGGCCTGCAAAATTCCACCAAGGGAAATATGACCCAAAATGTTTCGACTACAGTAATCAAGGTATAAATATTGCATTACGGCGGACTCGATTGTCCACGGATAATCTGGAAATTCGTATTAGGTAGGTTTTCGACTCACAGCGTTCAAATGTAAGGAAAATGTTCAACTTTACTATAGTGCAGCAATCATAGCATACATAAATCAGGCATGAATTTTGGAATGACGACATTTTTCAATGCCTTGAAAATAACGTTCCATCTAATTTTTATTGGATGCATTTTAGTTACACTATCTTTTAGCTTCAAGGAACTTGTTCCTACATAAGGAATCTGTATATTTTTGATTCATGCCGGCTTGGTCAACTTCCTTGTTGAGTTCGTAGAATTTTCTCTCCCAAGTCCCAACCCACTCTGACCTCAGTCTCGGATAAAGTTTCTCAAGTTTTCGGAATACGAAAAAATTCAAGCATTCCATTATGGTTTAACAGGCTTTTCTTAAACAATGGCCGAAGACACCACAAAAATAAATATGACAAAAATATATCTATATATGCAGGGTGGGCCAAAAAAGAGTGAACCGATTTTTGACTAGAAATGGCTTGGTAGCAAATTGAGCTGTGGTAATGAAAAAAACACCAAATGAAAGCTTGTTCAATTCTCTTTCAAATGGTATGTCCCAAGTGCCACAGAATGGTTACAAGAACCATTTGAATGACAACTTTAAAAAAGTTGTTAGGTGCCTTTTTCCACTAGGCTGCTGTTCTGGAGAGCTGTTTGTATAAATAAAGGAAATGCAGGATGCAATAGTTTATCCAGAAAACTTCATGCTGTGTTGGAGAGCCTGCACATGCTCCCAAAATTCACAAGAAGGGGGTGAGAAGGGGGAGGGGAATTGGCAAGATAGGATGCTGCAGGGCTCCCATACTGCACATGTGCTGCTGGCCTTGCAGCTCCTTGTGGCCCACACCATGGATAATTTTTTTCTGGATGACTGGAACTGCTTTCAAGTGAAAATTATTTTGAATTAATCTAATTTTGAGGGAAACTAATGTTCAGCAATCCAGTCAATCAGAAAAAAATGGACATGGTGTGGGTCACCAGTAGCTGCAAGGCCAGCAGCACATGTGCAGGATGGGAGCCCTGCAGCATCGTATCTTGCCAATTTCCCTCCCCCTTCTCACCCCCTCCTTGTGAATTTGGGGAACATGTGCAGGCTCTCCAACACAGCATGAAGTTTTCTGGATAAATTATTGTATCCTGCATTTCCTTTATTTATACAAACAACTCTCCAGAACAGCAACCCAGTGGAAAAAGGCACCTAACAACTTTTTTAAAGTTGTCATTCAAGTGGTTCTTGTGACCATTCTGTGGCACTTGGGACATACCATTTGAAAGAGAATTGAACAAGCTTTCATTTGGTGTTTTTTTCATTACCACAGCTCAATTTGCTACCAAGCCATTTCTAGTCAAAAATCGGTTCACTCTTTTTTGGCCCACCCTGTATGTATACATAATACCGGTATGTATGTAACAGCCATGATTAATCAGAGCATCGAATTTTATCACAGGCAGTGGAGAGGACAATTTTTTGCTGCGTCTCTTCTATGCTGGCTATTGCGACAGTTCTCGGGACTCTCATCGTCGACCAGGTATTGGATGATCACAGCTCATCTTCGCCGATAATCTGCGGAATTTTCGTCGCCATTCTATCACTTATTGTCGTGTCAACATTTGCGGAAGTCTGGAGTGTAGGCTGCGAAGCACTCCTGCTGAATTACGGTGAATATGGATTCTTATTCATTCTAATTTTTTTTAGCTTTAAATTGAAAGAAGTTTTGGAAAATCCCGAACATTTATTGAGTTGGTTTTCAGAATTTCCCACGAGCAAAAGTATAAAGGCAATGGAAAGTAGATCTAGTCTGACTGTGATGAGGTGCTTCTCCTGAATGAATCCATTTTGACGAAAGAACGTTGGATCTCATTCAAACACTGTTGTTAGTCAATTATGCGTGATTTATTCAGGAACCAGGTGTTAATACTGTACTGCACATGACAACTGTGACATCGTAAAACAAACGGTAGAGAACTCCAACAATTCATCAATCCATCAGCATTGCTTCGATTTAAATTACTTCACACGGAACAAAATGATATAATTTTTTCATAATTACACTTACACGAGCATCTAAATTTGTCCTTAAAATAAAAAAAATATTGGATAATGTACTCATAGATTCTTAGGCGAGGCTATAACACAGGACTTCAGTCGGGTATAATAGTCGAATAGCGTTCTTTCCCAAGATAATTGTATGGTCATTAAAGCCTGGATATTTGCAATTTACTGCGCCGATTGAGAACAAATACAGTACAGGAGAACCTAACGCATTAATGCTTACAATGAATACGTTTTTTTTCGGTCTCCGTCCAATGTTTACAATAATATTATAATTTCGTATCGAAGAATTTTCGTTTACGATGAAGCTTTCTTCAAGGTCCCAAACGCTTCGTTGTTATGACATTCTCCTGTATTATCATAAGCCATAAATTCTCTCACACTAGAATTTTAATTCCGTCAATTTTCTGAACTCGAGGCGTGGAAATCCGTCTTTATTTCAAGTCAGTACGGGAAGTATGTTCACAGTCAAGATTGCATTTCTCTCAACAACTTAGCTTCGATAGCCTTATTTTTCTCTATAATCCACAGTCCGGAAAGAGTTATTAGCAGCCTTAGTTTCCTCTATCATTTGAAAACCAGGAACAGACCCTTTATTTTCAGCCAATAAGTAGATCAGCGAAGCTGTTCAACTCAATAGGAAGATGGATAAGGTATTTGTGAGAAAAAGAGTGTTTTCCCTTCACAGCCGTCGATAAAGAGGATAACGACGAATCTAGCGAACAACCCCTCGTTGCCGCTGACGATGTCATTCGTCTTTTTGGAAGACAAACGAAGCAAAATCCAGCACCTGAACCAATTCTTCCCGATGAGCCTGAAACAATCCCAGAGGTTTGATGATTCAAGACATGAATGAAATGAATCCTTGCTCATGTTTGGTTTCGTTCCTCCGTGACACGCGAGTGCATTTCAACCAGCGACACGCCGACCCGAAATCAAAATACTTTCGCATTTCCAAAGAGTGGATCCATGAATAAAAATAACCCAACGCAACGAAAGCCACCAACTCAAGGATTATTCAAAGCGCGAGCTTTGGTAATGCGATCACAAATGTGTTACAACTCGACAGCGCTTGAAACAAATCGATTACTGGAATCGTCGGCAACTCATTTCCAAATTAATCATCCTCAGGTCCTCACAACAAATATAACTCCACGGAACAACTTTGTGCACACTTCCAGAAATTATGAAAAAACCTCGAGCCCAACCGGTGCGCACAACAGGGGATAAAATCAAATAAAAAACGATTCCGATATCGTTCGGTGGGTTCACTCTGCATCACGGAAACAACGCGTACAGGTTCCATGAAAAATTCATGAGATGAATAGGAATACATGCCCCGCTCCGAAAAAAAAAAAAAAAGTACGTGACCATCACAGCGCGTGACCAACACCCGATGAACTTTCGCAATCCAGCACGTGATCCTCAATCGCCTCCAGAGTTCCAGTAAAAGGAAACTGATGACAAAAATAATTGTTTCCGGTTAAACTACAGCAGCACCAAAAAAAGGAGCACATCGCATCTTCGGACAAGGTGACCGATTTTCAAGAAGTGAAATTTCCTCTACGTACGGAGCTACAAAACCACCTTTCAAAAAATTCATATTCGACGACAATTTTTGAATGAAGTATGACTTTTTGCATCTCGCTGCATTGAGTTAACCAACATGGCCGATGAGAAATGCGAACGATAAAACATTGAAGTTAACAGTAAATAAGAAAGAGTAACTCATCCAATTTAGTAACGAGTAGTAGGAAGAAAAAACGTCACATAAGTCATGCCTCACCCAATCTCAGATCGGACTGAAACAGGATCTGAAATTTTTGAATCTATTAAAAAAAGACATTCGAGTTCAAAATCCGTACTCATTTCCGATCTAACACGTGCGTACATTCCGTAAGAACCCCGTAAACTGAATTGCTCAAAGATGAAAAATGTATATCCTAGAACATTCCAAGATTACGAACTTATAGCTTGAAATCAATCGAGAAATTGTTCAGGTCTCAAATTATAGTACCACAGTTCGAGATGCATCCTGAACCGAATTCAGTACAATATACTGTACCGGAAAAAAAACCGTCAGGCAGATGAGAATTCATCAGACTGATGAAAGCATCAAAATGATCGAAAAAACTCACCAAAAATGATCATGAGTATGACACAAACGATGAAACCGATCATCAACTTCATTCTCAAGGCTCGCCAACGAGCCTTCTTCCTCAGAATTCCTGCGGAAGACCTGAAATCATCTGACGTCGCACTAAGGTCAGCCGAGCGATTTTCCAGTTCATCAAGATTTGCTCCCCGTTCGTTCAGTCGATTCACATTGTCGCGCATAGTACTCGTGACTTCTTTCAATTGCTGTTTCACGCGGTCCACGTTAGAAACGGCTTCTTCAGGATTGACATTCGGGCCTCTGAGGAAGAAATCGTCATCCGAATCCGATTCCCGACTCATAAGTAACGCTTCGCGTTCCGCAACAGGGCCCATTTCGGCATCCTGTATCGAGAACTTATCGAAATTGGCCATTACCCTGAAACCCAAATAACACTAGATAAAGCCGAATGCGAAATTTCTCACGAAGGAATTCATCGAACACCTGCAAAAGATTTTGGAATGTCTTCTCAACAAAATCTTACAAAATGTAAATTCCTGCGCCCAGATATCTCAGGAAATCAACTCGTGAACGTAATCGGGGTGTTGACAAGTTCCAAAAATCGAATGCAAGTGCTTTTAAAAACGAACTGCCCAAATGTTGACTTGTTTGTATTTGCAGTACCATGCAGGCGGAATGACAAGTACTTTACTGTATACGCCTTTCATGCAATATGACATACAACAGGCACCATTAATATTCACTAAGAAACAAAAAAAAACATCCTGAACCAAGCTCTACCGCGGCGAGCCCTATCGAAATCAACGCCACCAAAAAAACACAAAATCACAGGAAAATCATCAACTCCAGCGGATAGATTACTTCGCTTCACGGATGCCAATGCATTTCTCGCGTAATGGAATTAACGTATGGAATAGAAGTTCTGCACTAAACAAATCCTGTTGAGAAGTTTTACGTAAAGGTGACGAGTTCGGGGATCATGGTTAGGCAGCCGGCTCCCCAAGTTTAGCTTGCAACTTGGCGTTCGTGTGCAATTCCGGCTTGATGTCAAACGCCAGAGTTAACAGGAATTGAATGACCTGAAATGATGAAAAGCACAAAAAGACAATGAAAAAATACTAAGAATATAACAATATATCGCTTTCACGGGTCTTACTTCTTCTTGATTGTTCTGGAACGACTTCGCCATTCCACTGATCTTTGATTTGGTTTCTCCATCAATTTTCGCAGCAATGTCGGTTCTCGTTCCCATGTGCTGTTGATTATCGATAAAAAAGAAAAAATGAATCAAATCATCCCAATTCCAAGCAAACCAACTCTACTATTAAAAAAGATGGATTTAACTATCTGTCTGTGTTGCCATCATGTCCAATACCATTCCTTGTTGAATTCTTAAAACACATTAATACAGCCACGGAATTCAATCATGAACTAAGAAAAAATCATGATTTCTACCAAGTAAAGGCAAACTAATTTTTCTCACCATAGCTTCGTACTGCTTGAATTGCTTCTCACGCTCCACGCGGTACCGTTCCATCTCTGTTTGAGCTTCTTCCTTGGCTTGCTTCAGACGCTTAGCCTTACCTGCAGGTAATTTTCAAATTAGAAACTGAACAGAAATAACGTAATTCCTGTCATCTCACGCTTGCGCGCCTCAGCGACTCGTTCAGCTGCCTTCTTTTCGGCAGCGAGAAGTTGCTGAATTCCCTGAGTTTGACTTGCCATTCTTAAAATTCCAACACTGGTTATGGGATAATATATATATATAAATATCTGAAAATTTAGGAAACGTATCAAGAATCAATTTTTTGTCCATGCTTATACTGTACTTCGAAAATCGCGAAGATTACAGAGCTTATACGTTGACGCTCTCGCGACTATTGTGAGAAAAAAATCGACCTGCGACGAAGATCAATGAGAAAATTATGATCGAGCATCAACCAAGCACACCTATTTCAGGAAATGCAAAGGGGAATAGTCTTTTCGAAGCAGGAAAGTTCAGCAACGCGAGCATACCTTATTAAAGATCTTGGGAGGTGATATTCATGTAAGTAACTGTCATCGAATGCCATTGAAAGTGTTACCATTTTGAAAACTCAAACTCACGAAAATTGTATACACGATCACCTTCGATGTCTCGCCAATCCGAGAGCGGACTTCTTTATTTCCGAAGAGCGGATCCAAGTAAGAATAAACACCCAATGAATTCCATCGAATCAAAAGTTATTTGAGACGTATGTTCTAATAATGCGATCGGAAAATTTCAGATTTGGGAGCCCCAAAACATAACCGATGATACCAGCGCCTTCGAAATTGATTTCCAGAAAATGGGGAATTCGTAAAAATTACTAAAAACTCCATGCACACTTCAAAATTTGAAAAATCTCGATCTCAACCGGTGCGCACTACGCACTAGAATATATCTTCCTTCATTCGTGTTTAAAAGACACCCTTCCGATCTGTTCAGTCGGTCCAATTTCAATCACTGAAACAAAGCTCACGGGTTCCATGTACAATTCATGAGATGAATAGGAATACAATATATCATCCTATCCGAGCGAAGAGTATTCCGCGACCGTCATAGCACGTGACTGACACCCAATGAACTTCCGCAATCTAGCACGTGATCAGCAATCGCCCACAGACTTCCAGAGACGAGAAATCTATTAAAATCAACGGATTGTTCCGTAGTCCAAGAGAACAATGTAAATCTCTTGTAAATCCAAGAGAACAATGTAAATGTAAGAGAACAACACCATAAATCTCAACGGAGAGCGCAACACAGGAAGAATAACTTGCGCTTGCACACCAGCGAACTCTTCGACACTACGAAACTGCCACCTTCAACGAATTTAATTTGACATTCATTTATAAGTCTTTGAAATTATGTCGTATTCTCGATCCATAGAAGGCTGAGGAGATTTACACTATCGATTTTTCAACTGTAGCAGCAGCCACAAGTACGGCGGGAATAGCATGACCTTAGCTCACCAGAACGCATCATGGAGCCGATACACATATCGATGCTTTTAATATGTTATGACAACGATTCGCAATAAAATAATAAAATCATCGCTCGCGAACGCGACAGATATGCTCGAAGCTACGCCAATACGACGCATACGCTCTCATATCCACGTGAGTTATCACTGTACTGTAAAATCATTCGATCGACAAACAAATTTAGACCGGAAGAAATCCACTTCATCTGAACAGTAACAAGAATTTTGAATGCCAAGAGGTCTTACCAACAGTTGGTGCATAACAGTCGTAGAAGGTCCTAGCAACTCTGAAATAACAGTGGTCTCGTACGATAACATGGCCGCCATGTTGGATTTAAAGCACCTCGTGATCCAAGTAGATCACAGGTGAACCTACCAGGAAGCGGACTGCTCTAGAACTGTGATGAAGCCGACCACAATGCATACAGCAAGAGGTTGTTTTATGGTGATTTATTCGCGAGGGAAATGGAAAATCAGACAGCGCCACACGTGATAAGAAAAGTTTTCCGTCCCAATCTGCGTCCACCGATCACGCCCAGGAGTCAGTCATTCGATTTGTCATCACTCCTTCGTAGCAGTTGATACTGTACCTGCCGGAACCTGACACATGACCAAAATAAAGTCTCCTTTTATTTAATGACCGCCAAGAATATAATTGATACATTCGCAATCAGAAGTACGAGAATCTCCAACTGCATCGTGTTTTCTTACTTTGAGGAAATCCACATAAGCACCGGAGAGAAGATCCTCTTTTCTTATGTTTAGTTGCTCCATGAGTCTTTCGGCCTCAGCTTGCCCATCCTCGGCGTTCTGATGATCCGATAGAACAACTTCCAGTTCCATAAAATGACCGTGATTCGGAATGTGATCCACATGCACGCGAGTCTGACCAACCATGAACACCTTACGCATTTTAACCAGTTCATCCTTTATTCCCAGGGAATTCGAGAGAACGTGCTTCAACGCTGAGGGGTCGGATACAGGCGATATGGAATAATTGCTCAGTTTTGCTCCAGATTCATCAGGGCGGTCGTAAAATATAAGCTTCGCATCCCTAATTCCGTTCACCTGCACGATAATTGATCTGAATAAGTCATAAATTTATCTGGCTAGCATTCCTACAGAAGTTCCATTAAACAAACCGTATTTTTCTGACATGGGACCAACTCAGTTATTCAGCCCATCGAATCGAAAAAAAAGTTTGCCATCAAATTCAAGACACGCTGCCACACGCAGCACCTTAAAGCGCTGTGAGAACCTCTCCATTGTGGAAGTGGAGTACTGTAAATCCTAGCATAAATCTAGAACACTTAAAAAGCCCATCTTGAATTTTTGCGAGTTGAAAAGGGAGAAAGTTGTTTTGAATCAGCGTTCATACTGTACAGTCTACAGCAACAACTAACAGCATGAATTCCCTAAAATTGAACGCACTTTGGCACCCAATCAGACAAACATAAAATCTGCGTCACTTACCAATTCAACCCTCAGCTTTAAGCGCCCTTCGTTGCTGAAGAAAAAAGTATCATGTTGTTCAATTTCCGAGCACGGAGAGCCCGCTAGTTCTTCCGCTGTTTTTAGCAGCTGCTCCAGATCATTCACTCTCGCCTTGATCTCAACGTTTCTCATCTAAAGTTCATCGAGGGAAAAAATCCATGTTAAAGGGAACGTCCAATTCAACTTGCGAGAATATGAAATCCAAAAGACATTAGCAAGATTCACGAAGAATGCACAAGCTATCTTGACATAGCTTGATGAAAGCAACACCCATGGATATGAGCTAATAAGGCATTTTATCTATCCATCATTTACCGTAAATCATCAATCTTGACACACTTGATAAGTGAAACTGGAACAACACGAAACGGCATTCGTTCTTTCAAATCACTCTTCGAAACGAATGGGGAATTGCACATTTCTGAGTTTATCTCTGCAACCAAACACGCCAAATTATTCGAGGAATTTTTCAAAATCCAACTCAATGACTTCCTTACGCGAGATGATCATCACAAAAACCGGAATACATTTAACGCGACGATCTGATGCAGACAATCGACACTGATGTGCAGCATTTGAAACTGACGATAAACGCATTCGTTGAAGAAGCAAACCACGAAGGCTAAAATTTTCCAGATGAGACTGATATTTAAAAAAAAGAAAAAAGAAACCTGTTCTGAGATGCGAAGATTTGATCGCATATCCGTTTACGAAGCTTTGCAGACAAATCAACAACGAAGCAGACTCTCCAAAACCAGGTGAATATGATCACCCGTTTTCGTATCAAGTACAGTCTAATGCGACATTCGCCGAGTGATCATTACTAAATTGCACATATGCTACCGGACACCGGCTTTGATTTTCCTCTTCTGCGAAACACGAATTTCAAGGGACTAGAATAGCGCGAAGATTCTATACATATAAAATGTATGACGGTCAGCAAATACCATTCGACATTGATTAGATTTGCTCGCTATCGGGGCTACTTCATTTTGCTTTCCCTTGGGCTGCAACAGCTTCCATGGCTTTCTTCACTGTTTCTTCGTCTCCAAGGAACTTCATGGGTCCAGTGGGTTTCAAATTTTCATCCAGCTCGTAAACAAAGGGAATACCGGTCGGCAGATTCAATTGCATGATAGCTTCTTCCGACATACCTGAAAATTGGCACAATTGTAAGCAAAAATTGTTCTCTTTATTCGTGTCTGAAAAAAGCTCAAACGCATGAATCGTCATCCTTGCGCACTTTAAGCTCCAGTCGTTGACGTATACTTTTCATTGTAAATATTTGTTTTCCCGGATGCAGATACATAGAAAAATAGTGAACTATAAGACCAGATACCAACCTGAAGCAATCACCGTTTAATGCCAACCAGTATAAAGTACAGTATGAATATTCAGATCCAGCTTCGAGCGAGCAAACTTATAGCTGTGGATGTAAATATTTTTTGCCCTCAAAACAGAACAGAATTTTGAAAGAAGACTTCAACCATTTCACGTATACAGTGCTTCACGTATGATGTATAAACTGCTCGGTCAGTTCTCTGAAAGTAAAACCCACTGCAAAACAGAGGCAATATTCCGAAAATTTATTAGGTCTTTGCGAACCGTCAGCAGAGTACGACACGAACATTTAAGATCTAAGTTAATTCTACATGTAAATAAGTATGAGTGACAGAAGTCGTCGATATCATTCATAGTCAAAATGCTTTTTACTTCGAACAAGAACAATTCGTTTAGAAAATGCTTAGTATCTCCCGTTGAAGCACCATAAATCCCACAACATTTCACCGTACATGTTATACGTCATTTCCATTTAAAAAACTGCTGGTCTTTTCCGAAAGTAGTATAATTTTTTTCCATCGGAACCCCAGTGCTACACGACCTGGCTTCCCTTGACTCATCGGAAAAAATGGAATAGTCAAATGAATACCTTCCAGATGCTTGACAATGCCTCTCAAACTGTTTCCATGAGCAGCGATGAGAATCTTCTTGCCGGCCTTGATTTGAGGGCAGATGACATCGTTCCAAAACGGTAGAGTGCGGGCAATCGTGAGTTTGAGGGACTCATACATGGGGAACTCCTCTTTCGAGGGTTCGTCCTTGTACCGCTCGTCATCAACAATCAGTTTATAGTAAGGATGGCTTTCTTCCATTGGTGGTGGAGGAATGTCGTAGCTGCGACGCCAGATTTGAACCTGCACAAGATCCGCGGGGCTACTAAGAGTTCAGAAATTCCAAAAAATTTGATCCAACGAACATGTACAGTTTTGAAATCCTCGGATAACATTTTTTTTTTTTCAATTCTATCAATTTAAAGTACAGTACAGTGCACGTATAAATGTAAAAATAATGCGCAAGTATTCGAAATTTTTCTGCGTTGTACATTCAACATCACAGAGGATTACGGAATCCATGCTCAAGATCTTCCGGATGAGCAACAAACTACGAAACTTGATAATAATTCTGAAAAAAAAATGTCGCGATATTCTACGTATTTTATGCAAGATTATTAAGATTTTTAAAATCGATGGAGAATGTGGGATAGAAATTCTTCGCGATTTACCCACGATTCAAAGAGATGGAGAATTTACCTGTTCTTCTCCGTGTTTGGCAGCAGTTTCGGCTTTGTTCAAACCCGTCAGAGCACCATAATGTCGCTCGTTCAAACGCCAGGTCTTGACCACAGGCAGATCTTCTTGTCCGATTTCTTTCAGAACAGTGGCAAGCGTCTTCTGAGCCCGTTGCAGAACAGATGTGTAGGCCAAGTCAAACTTGTGGCCGTCAGATTTCAACGCTTGTCCTCCTCTCTTTGCCTCTTCAATTCCTGGAGTGTTATTTCAATAAGCACATCAACAACGAAAGTGAGAAATACCACGGCATGTTGGTAACTACGCCAACGTCCAAAAACTAGGTGCAGAACAGAATTACAACTTCGAGTGAATTTTTAAAATAGCGGGAGTTTCGAGGCCCATGAATGCTGCATTTGATAGAAAAATCATCATTCGGTGGAATCAAAACAGAAGTACTTACCAGCTTCACTAAGATCAGCATCGAACCAGCCACAGAATCGGTTTTCTTTGTTCCATGCGCTCTCGCCGTGGCGAATCATGATGACTTCGTACTTCGCCATTCTTGCAAAATATCGAAATACAGTGAAAAGCACCGGATTCTTCACAGGTTGAAAATTATTCAGCGAAAAAAGCCTTCTGTAAACATGGCGGCACAACATGATTTCGTGATGAAAGTAACCGCAGTCACTTTTCGAAGAATATACATGAGTAAGCAACCACAAGCCTTCGAAAACGAAAATAAATAAGTTTTAATATGTCACTTGACATTGTTCGCACGTAATTCTATCCCAACTGGTCGTTCGGCAACAGAAACATTGAGCGCGGCGCAACGTCGTCGTGATCGCCAAACTTTCACAGATTTGTCATCAGAAACAGTCACAAGCATTTCCGAATCCACAGGGTTGAAGGCTACCGCATTCACTGAGCTTGAATGCTGCAGCTTAGCTAACAAAATCATCCACCGGCGATCCCAAACATAGGCATACTTCTCCTCCGAACCACTGCAAAAAAAAAAAAATTCTTCTCAATGCATGAAAAGACAAACCAAAATAACTTCGACCACTAAGACATGATACAGTACAACCGATCTAATCCAGCATATTTTCCAGCTAAGCACAGTGGAATAAAAAGGTTTCCAACACGTGAAAACTTACTCCACTCACCCTTCGGACCTAGCATAGCATTCGAATAGCTGGGTCATGCACCTAACCATCAACTAAGGAAGTAGTTTCGCATCTAACCCTGCTGTAGGCAATAATTGATACAAATCAAGTGTAGCACCGAAGAAAAAGTAGCTGGATAATATACGAGGGGTACAACCAATCTAGCGAACTCTCCGCGCCATACTTGCCTAGCAACGTAGTTGTCGCATGCATCAAGGAACACATAACAGCATCGATCACTGGAACTATAGGCTTTGTGAGACGCCAAAACAGGCCCAAGCACCTCCAAAGTCTTCAGGTCGATTATCCGAACTTCTATTTGTTCGGCTATCGGCGGTGGTTCACCAGGATCGTCGACGATCGCACCGAATGGCCACGGTCGAACATTGACATATAAATACCTATAATTTATAAATCCACGATTTATGATCCAAACTAAATTAACGTCCCTTTTGTATTCATCACTCGATTATTTGTACCTGTGATCTGGAGAAATGGCCATTCCAACGATGTATCCTCCCAGATCAAAAGAGCTGTCGGGTAAGTCGAATTTAGCCAGAATATCTTCATCAGACAGAAGTGCCGGTAGTTGGTTCTCTGGAAATTCTACGTCGTCTTCTTCCCGAGATCTGACACGTGCTACTCGTTCCGCTAGCGAGGGCCCAGCATTGAAATAGTGCATGAAAGCAAGAGGTGGAACACGTTTGATGTTCACAACGTGAGGCACGTTGGCTCTTCCTCCAGAAGTAAATATCAGATATTTATCCCATGGGTATAAAAGCTTCAGGCATCTGCTGTCTTCGTTTTCTTTTGCGTCATACGGCCCATCGTTCCACATCACTGTCGGAACATCACACATGGGATTAACCCAATGCGAAGGTCGAAAGCCCGACTTGCTACACGCCGGATCGTCCGTGTTTTTCGCTTCGTGGCAGTCGGCCACAAGTATATTACGGGCACAAGATAAGCGAGTGTAAAATCGCAACATACTGTTCATGACAGCCTGATGCTCACTTTCAGTTTCTTGCGATGCTTTCACTAATGAAAGTTTGGATACTATTGCCGTTCCAATGATGGATACTCCTCCAGAAATAAAGTACTCCGAATGGTACCAAGCGCCAAAAAGATCGTAGGGGCGAGATTCAATCCGGCAACGAAAGTTTAATCCACTTTCTTCGATACTGAACACAACAATTTCCCCAACTGCTTCCCTTTCACAAATAACTCCACTGACCAGAAGAAGCGTACTGTCCTCGTTGAACTGCGAGTACTGCGGGAAGATCCATCTGAATTCTTGCATGTTTTGATAATACTTCATGTAAGATGGAAACCCTGATTCCCATACGTGAACGAAGTTGTCCATCGAACATGTGACGAAGAATCTCCCATCATGAGAGAAGGTGACATGCAGCACTTCGTGACTATGCTCCTGAAGATCTTCGGTTAGCACGACAGGTACGCAATAATGCAGGCGACGATATTCCAGGCGCCACGATTCAGGTGGGGTGATTCCGAACGGAACGTGAAAGTCAGCACGTAGCAGATCCCGCCATAACAACTCATCTTGACCAACCCTGCACCATTTTTGGCATGTCATGGAAGCAGCAAGCAGGGAACGCGCATCTAAATATGCGAATATTCCCAGCAAAACCGAGTCCGGGATGGTATTATAGAATTCATGGCGTTCTGGTTGATGGACATCAGATCCCACCTTCTCATTACCCTCCAACTCCATCAAAATACGGTACCTGCAAAACATAAAATTCGTAAAATAGGGGTATATAATCACGCGTCCACATCAACACAAGTAAGGCACTCGCTTCAGTCGCACGATTAAAACGTCCTCACGAAGTATCATGGAACGCACTGACTCAAATTTGGTGACTGTCCTTCCTTCAATAACATTAACCCATGTCACTGCAAAAATTTATCAAGGACTTAGTTGCACCATAAACTCGGCGGTTTCGTCAGAATATCGGAAGTAAACAAGCGCCATCAATAAAATGCCGCGACTGACTAAGGCGCTCGTATTTTCGCTGAGACGAAATCAACCTCTCATCTACGATGCACCGAAAAGGAACTTCCACGCAGGAACGATAAAACTACACTGTACAATACAAGAGAATGTACCTCTATTGTACTGTTGTAAATGTTGTACGGTAATGAGAAGTGGATCAACTGATTTCGAGTCAAACACTCCACAACTTATCAATCTTGATATTGATACGCACCATATCGCACGAAGAACATAAAGAGCCGCACCATGCAAAGATATGTATGAATTAATTGAGGGTACAGTACAGTACAGTATAATTATACTGTACTTCTGCCAGTCTTCCGAAGGAATATCTCCTGTTTCTTGCTTTTCATACATGTACAGTACTTGAGGTATCGCTGGTTTTGTAAAACATCGTACTGTAGTCCTGTAGCATTGATAAATTAGTCTGAAAGCGCTGACTCCAGTTTTTTAATTTATAAGCAGATGTCGCACAAACCCTGCTGAAAACATGACGCATGCGGTATCCTGTACATCACTTGGACCCACCAGCAAATCCTCTTTCAATATCAGCCGGTAGGTTTTCTTCGCAATCCGATGCGTGTGACTTAACAATGCTATACAGTATTTTTATTCGAGGCACATACTTTAAACAGTATATTCGCTCACACCTGCGTCGCGTGAACCTGCTGAGAGTGCTGTGTGTTGAAAGCTGAGAAACAACATTCCATTACATATAGACAAACGCATGTTTCTACAGAAACCTTTCAACATCGTAAAAAGTTTATTTTCTGGAATGATAAAGGTTCTATACACAAGTAATCGAAAAAATACATCAAATTCATCTTCGTGCGTGAAGTTGTATAAGTTTTGGTTCTTAGCCGATGTTGCAATCTGCCACCCAATTTGCTTCAACATTGGTTCCCTTGCAGTTGTTGAGCCAGCCGTACCAGGCGTCAAAACCGTGCCGCTGAAAAATCAATCGCACGCAGGCAATGTCGTCGGTGATGTCATCGTTGCGCAAGTCTGCGAATGAGATAGTCGATTGAATCGTTAGATGTTCGTCAGTCCGAATGTCAAAGTTATGCACGGAAGATAAAACAGGACTAAATCTTTGCCATCTGAGACCAGAATACTTCTTCAAAATATGAAAGATAGCCTTTGATCTCGACCATTGATGAACAGCTCCATGATAATTTTTCAACTTTTTTCGAAGCTTTGAATAGCTTACGTTATTCATAATACCAATAAAAGTTACTAATTAACGCAAAGTTGCCAATATTCCCTTCTCGTCTTATATACGCGCGCACGTGCTGCAGTAAATGGTCGAGTCCAGTTTTAATCAATTCCTATATAATCAAGCGCTGCAAGCTTTCCGTACCTTTCATTGTACAGTATTGTGTATCATTCTTTAAAGGGATTTTTAAAACAATGCTTTTGCGCCTTTTTTTAAATTTATGCTTACATTTTCAGCTAAATAAAAAATCATTGCATGACATTTCAGCGCTCAGCACCCCGAATAAACAGAATTACTGTATATGATAGAGTGCTAAATCCATATGGATGAGTTGTGATGTGCATGATCTGCATGATTGAGTTGTGATGTGCATGGTTGTGATGTGATGATGCTTGCGTAAGCATACAATATATAGGATACAAGCATCATGTATCCTATATACAGTATTTTGAATGAACGGTATATATATACAGTACGGTATATATATACTTTTATTTTTATTTATATATACAGTATTTGTAATGTGGGAAGAATATTCAATTTGACTCACTGTCGCAAGCAACGTTACAGTCGGCATACTGATCTGGGGGATAGCACCAATACCCATCGTTGATCTGGAATAATCCGTGGTCATAACTCCCATCCGTGTTTGGTCCTCCCCTTTTGCTTGTGTCCAAAGAGCTCTCGTAAAATGCAAGACAGACCCCTAGTACAAACAAGTTGAGATCATCATCTATTCATCATAAGTAATATACTCGCTGTTTAATTGTATGAAGCCAGGATTTAAAAAATTCTGACAAGTGGGTATATATGCATACCGCGTATATTCAAACGCAGCCAATATAATCTTTTATATATAAAAAGAGGAAAAACAGAACAGCATTTGCTATTCAGCACTTTATATATACGGTACAGTACAGACGTACAGTACTGTACTGTACTGTATATACCGCATTCATTCATATAATGCTGGTTTTTACATCACGTTAATTTAGAATATTGTTTATGCGCTGAGATACATACACGGGATCACTGCTCCTAATTTTGAGAATAAAATTAAGTTATTGTACGAGATTCTTGTTTTGCTGATGAGTTATTAACTTATAATTGATCATCTGAACTGCGGATAGCGGATACAGGACATTGATCTGTTTATTCATATGCGCTTAATTTGCTAGTTGAACAAGATAGTTGCTGGAAGTTTTCTTCATTTTTGTTTTCTCTTACCACAAAACTCACTATTTTCTCTTCATTTCAAACTGATGGATGAACATCAATAATGTAGGCCATCATGCAGGAATTTATGGATTATTCTATGATAATACAGTATACACGGTACTCCGCACATGCAGTTTATTTTATGAATTTTCAATTTTCATCAAACCACCAGGCGGGATACATGGCACACAATATATTTTCGCATGATGACGAAACTTATCCCACACATTTTTTTTTTCGAAAAATTCCAATCATGTAGTACAGTACTTATATTCAAAGCTTGAGAAAAGTTTTCCCGGCTGAGTTCTTAGCAATTCACATAACCCGCGGTCAACAGACCTCATCAATAAATAAAAAACCGGAGTAATTAAAATATAGATCGCTTTTCGCTGGAATTCGGAGATTTCACAGCATCTTAATTTACAAATTTTCCTCAATTCATCAGTATCAACTCACAGTCTCCAAGGTTTTCCCGACCGAAGCCGTAATTGTCCCTCAGAGTGCGAGCCAATTCACACCTTTCGAAAACTCTTCCATCGCTGCCAATCGAACCAAGATACACTGTGAGAAGTGCTGAAATCAAGATTTTACCCATTGTTCCCCAAACGTAATTCAAGCGAAGAGCAGCAGGTAGCATGAAAGTATGCAAACGCTGACTCTCGTATTTATGGCGTGCCATTTCGACAGTCAAATGCGAATTTTCCCAGCCTTTCACACGAAAGTAAGCGCTCGTGTTTACATGACGCACCATTATTCCATAAATGGGTTGATATTTTAATGTATTCCATGACATCCGGCAAAAGTTTTAATCGCGATATGGCATACATAGCTGGTTTTCGATTAGGTTAGTCACTTTGAATTTGTTCTTATGGCTATTCCTTCAGCTGCCCTGTGCAAGCTACACTACCCACCATATACTGTAATTCATGATATACCTCTTCCACAAGTGCAGTAATCCTCAAGTTTAATACAGAACATGTTTGAGGTGACATCGCCGATCTACTTCCAGAAATCTCTTCAGTCAAAATGTAAGCTTCTCTTCGAGCGGATTGACGCAGCTCAAGATCAATTTTGAGGCTCGGCTTGTTCTTAAAAACGATGTTCCTGCTCAGTGTTGAATAAAGTTCAATAGAATTAATGAACGTTCTATTGGGTTATCAAAAATCTTGGCATCCAGTTCTCCAGATTTTGATGGGGCGAATGAAGAAAGACCAAGCAATACATCGGAAGTTCTACGGAATTTTATTTCTAGGAAATTCTTGGGTCAACCAGCAATAACGTGACACGTCAGCACAATAAACACAAGCAAAAAGCGAATACAGAGTCTATCCATGACGAACGTCGACAAAAAAGAATCATATCTCATTTCCCGGCACACTCAGATCAAAAATGAGTAATACCTCTATAGAATTCAACTCATTTCAAATCAAATACGAAAAAGAGTTTCTTACGCTTTTGATTCGTACTAGCAAATAGAAAAAAGGAGAATCATTTCAATTACGCTCGACGAAAATTGAGATAATTTTCAGGTCTGCATGTCATTAACTTCAGTTCAATGGCACAGTAAAAAAAGGAGGGGTTCACATTCCCATCAGTCAACAACCACCAAAAAAAAGTTACAAAAACCGGCCTCCGCGCGTATGCACAACAGAAACCACCCCATCTCTCGGCATTCGCCGCGTTGATCGAAGTAACTCAGCAAAAAATGAACAGCACAATAAAATAAATAAAAAAATCGCGCGAAATGACATTCATCCAATACACGACAGGATCAATTCAACGTACGTTCATCCCCAACAATAATAACCTTTCACTCGCGAAGGACCCACCCAAAAACGACTGTTCTTCACAGGGAACTTCCCTGACACACAACCCGCTCAAGCAAAAACGAAAGTTTTCATGCCACATTTTATCACAAAAACATTCAGCCAGATACTCGACAAAATTTCTCTCTACAAAACGCCAGCCGACAAACCTCGGAAACAGGAAAGTTAATTCCGTTTCTGAAATTACTTAGCACAGGATCACGAGGATCGCATTCACGCGGAGCAAATACGTCGCAATATACAGCATTTTAATAGAAAAAGGTGCCGAGTCAGGTCCGAAGAAAATTTCAAGACGAATAGGAAGATTTTCTCCGCTACAGAGATGTAAAACACAGTGGCCGATATCAAGTTGTTGAGAAGTTTTCAACCAACGAAAATGAAAAATGTTACAATACGTGTCTTTAAAGTACTGTATAGACCATTTTTTGACTTGTCATCCAACGGACTAGAAAATGGAGAAGAGGGTGTTTGTCACATGCAACATGAAGAAGCATAACAAATCAAATGTCTACACAGTACAAGTCAAAACCAACAATGATACAAGACCGAGATAACTAATGAATCCCGAGGTACAGTTTTATAATGTTGACTTCAGTTGATGCTAATGAAAAAGTGGCAAGACGATGTGAATTATACACCCACCAGCGGTGACAAAATGCAGGAAGTTAACACAGAGAAGATACAAATAAAGAATCCGGCACATCTGAATAAATATTCAGCCACTGAACATCACTACCGAAAGAAACTTTTCTTCAGAACCAAAAACTTGCACCCACACTATTTCTCGCACACCGTAACCGGACGCGAACGATTTCAAACTCCTCAGGTAAAAAACAAAACATTTGACTAACGAACTCATCCTCGCACGGCGCACTGAAAGGCAGCCAGAAATAGAACAGAGGAAAAATACGTTTCCCGAACACTTCAAAGATGAATGCAAATATTATCTACCACAACTAATGACAAAATAACGGTATGCAACCCAATGGATACGATTGGCTCTCAAAATTTTCCTACAATACGAAAAATGCTTTTAAAAAACCAATTAATTCTGGACATGATCTAGTAAAGCGGTCAATAGAATCAGTACATGAACCAACCTTACAATTTCGAAAGCCTCCCGTATCAATTGTGCTCCGCTTTCACTGCTCTAGCTCCATTACTCGAGTTACCAACAGCAATTATAGTCACCTCTCCGCGACTGAAAGATGATGCTGAACCACAAACTTTCCCCATCATCCGAATGCGACAAACAAAAAATATTGCTCTTGCCCCGACGCAATAGAAGGTATAGAAGTGGATCTGAAAACATTTCACACCGAACATTCAGTTCTGAACGGTGCGTCCGAGGAGGCACTGGAGTCAGACTGGTCGCCGGACATCACGGTGATGTATCCTTGCTGCTCGAATATTAATAAAAGAAAGCAACGTGTTCAGAAAATATATTGAGCCTAAATTTGGATTAATTTGATGACTCACGTTTGGGCCTGCCCAGGTGCTGAGGATGTAGTCCAGGCGAGCTACCAAGGCATTGAAGGTAGGGCGCTCTCGAGGATCATCCATCCAGCAATCTGACATGATTTGGTAACTGTAAAACGACCCAATCAAATAATTCGTCAAGCGCCCATTTCAATTCGAACATCAGCAGTGATGTGCATATATCGAGGGAAAAACCTCGCCATTTTCCCGAAAACAGTTGAAAGCTTTTCGTATTCTTACAAGAGCCTTTCGCACACTGTTCTTCGGAAAGCTTTCGTCATAAAAGGCACTCAAAGAAAAACTCACATTTCTTTCGGGCAGTTCACAGGACGATTCATCCGCTTGCCTTCTTTCAACAACTGGAACAGCTTTTCTACATCAGGAACGGACGGGTATGGCGTCGCACCCAACGTCATGATTTCCCACAGAAGTACACCGTAGGACCACCTGTCATCAGAGAAAAATGAGAGAATTAGCAATGGATCTTTGGATATACGTGCACTGTTACTACGCGGTTATAGAGTGAGGGAGGAAAACGGTAAAGCTTGAACCAAGCCTTGACTTACACATCGGATTGAGTGGTGTACATGCGATGGAAGAGAGATTCGGGAGCCATCCATTTGACAGGAATGCGGCCATCAGATTTCTTCCGGTAATACTCGTAATCTCCTTTAGCAAGTCCGAAGTCAGCTATTTTTAGCGTGAAATCCTCTGTCACCAAGACATTCCTTGCAGCCAAGTCACGGTGCAGACACTGAAAAATACTCATTCATTAGAAGTGGTAATTCAATTACACCCACTCGAGAAAAATTGAAGTGTATTCGAGTATACGAAAAGATATCCTGTTGGAATGATCTGACGGCTATGAACAAATTAAAAAAAAAAAGGATTCGCCACTCGTAACATTATTTCCTTCCTAAAAAATCTAAGAGCTATTGACAAAATTTCAAACACTGTCGAATAGCATTGCAGTATGCTATTGAATCCGTTTCTTGAAAAAATTAATTTCAGATAGACGTTTCGAATACCTAAAAAAAATACCTGGCGCCGGGGTTCGTTACTCTTTAAACTCGTAATGAGAACTCACTCGTTTCGAAGCCAGGTACTCCATGCCACGAGCCACTTGGTAACAGAACTTGACCAGCTCCACCGTTGTCAGTCCGGAAGAACCCATTTCCGAGTCAAACTGTTGATGTTGGCGATTTCCGTGGTGAAGGAGGTGCATGGAAATGCTGCCATGTCCACTGCCGTTGCTACTGTTGTAACCGCTGCTGCCGCTGGTGTGACGCATACCACGAACATCATCATTCTCATACGATGGTGAGCTGGCTTTGCAGGAAGATGGCGGCGTGAGAGGCATAGAAAATGGCGTCTCGTAGCCGGATTCCATCTGCTTCGTCAGAATCGTTTTGCAGAAGCTCCCGGAGTTCATTTGACGTCCGGCGAAATCGAACCTAGTGATCAAATTCGAAGAAATGTTTTTTTTTTTAGTTAAAAAAAAAGCATGAAGTGCGCGTTGCCATCAAAAGAAGCGAAGACAAAAGCAGTTTAATTTTTCGCGAAAATTGACGAAAATCATGGAGAGACTTTCTTTCAAGCCTGACCCATTTGTATGCATAAGATTTACAATACAGTACTTAAATTCGATTCGAAGCGAAGTATTTCTGGAACTTGAATCCTTCCAATAAAAATTCATAAAATTCGTATTCGATGGCGAAATCAGCAGGGCCGAAGCAAACCGAGCATTTAAGAGACCAGCCGTGGAAGTTAAAATGGAGTTAAGTCAACAAAACAAAACTTCTCTCCACTAACGAAGAAAATACAAAAACACCACTGGAAAATTTACTGCATATACCATAACGGATAAATTGAACCAATAATGACATCTCTGACTTTCGCGGAGAAACAATAAAGGTATAAAAATAATTCTAGTTCAAGACGTTCATTCACTTACTTCAATATACTTTCAATGTCAAAAATGGAATAGTGCAAAATGTGAAGGAAGGTAAAGTTTTCAGCTTGAGAGTGGTTGCTTTTACAAAAATAATATGTACGGCACCTGTGTTTCCTCAAGAAGTCTCTCAGATTTCCATGACGGGCCATTTCTACGAAAACAAGCAAAGGTCCGGCCTGAGTGCAACAGCCCAACAGACTAATGACGTTCTTGTGCTTCCCAATGTTCTTCATGATTTCCAACTCCTTGACCAAAGACTTCAGGTCGGTATCGGTATGGCCCTCTGTAGGGAAAAAAGGAATCATCGTAACCCGATTCGGAACCACGTGATTTTTGACAAGGTCTCAATCACAGACATACGTTGGTCACGTACAGGGGGAAATGAAACAGCTCAAAGCGATCTTGACCTCTGTTCGGTTTGATTGTCAGCACATGAAGCACCACTGATTTTCGTCCCATATTCGAATACAGTATAACGTTTGAATAAAATCGGTAAATTGTTTTTCATTCGAGATTCGAGAAGTATGATGAAAAACGATTTAATCAACTGCTTCGTGGGGAATTCTTGTGTACTAGCTAATTACCTGATGTACTCGCCCGAATAACGAACATCTGTTCTAGAGAACATAAATAAAGCAATCAATTTACGAAAAATGTAATTAGAATTACAACCTACAAACCCGCGAATTGAAATACGTTTGCCCAGATGATCAGTCGGTCAGGCTAAGATGAATCGGCTCACGTAAAAATCAAGAGGAGTATAGGAACGGCTTTATACCCTTGTATAATGATCATCAATGCTGGACGAAGTCACTCGATTACTAATAATGCCACTGTGCACCGGGAAAAATAGATGACTTCAATCTTTCACCTTTCAGCATTTTGACGGCAACCGTGGACACGGCTCCTCTGACAGCGGTACGAAGGTCCCACACCTGCGCCTCCACGACACGCCCAAAAGCACCTTCGCCAAGAACCTTCCCGAGCTTCACATCCTCTCTTTTGACTTCCCATTTGGCGTCCATCGGCATTTCGTATTCCCAATTCTGGATTCCTTTGGCGGCTTCGCGAGCACTGCTGCCACTGCCATTGATTCCACCTGAGTTTCCACTGTTCGCTTTGCCCAGAAGCATCTCCGAACGAAGTGTCATCTCTTCCGGACTGTACAGAACAAAAATCGAAGAAAAGATGGTATAATTAATTCAACCCAAGGGAGGAGGGCAAAAAATCGGGGCTTCTTTTCGAAATCATGAAAAAAGACGCATCTCTGATAATTCCGGCAAATTGAATCCCTGGTACTGCGTGCGACGCTAAAAATATTTTCATACAGCACTTTTCAATCTGTGCACAATACTTGTTCTTCTAAAATCCCTCTCGCGTTGCATTAATAACTTACTGAATAGAACTTGAAACATACCTACTTTTAATGGCGGAGTGACGCTGATGATCAGACATTTTCTTGCGTCATTTATTCAAAATACATGTAATCCAATCAAAACCAAATACTGTACAGTATTATACTTTCAATATGTGTATTCGGTGACACACCTCTTATAATTCATATTAAAAATCGTAACACGTGCAAGAATACAGCTCAGAAATACAACTCGACAATTCGGAATACCCATCGATGAAGCAAGAAATGTGGAACCCACCTGTATTTGACGCGTTCAATGTAAACTCGGGGAGTGACGGAGTCTGGCTGAGGTTCGACGATGACACGTTTGAATTCGTAGATCAGACCCTTGACCATTTCATTGCAGCGTCTCTTGTAGCGAACGGCTCGATAACGGATCCCAATGCACGAAAGGAGGAGCAGAACCACCATTGTAGACAATGCTCCGACCACGATCCAAATCAACATGTTGTTCGGCTCTTCAGGAGCTGCAAATATGATCAATCAACAATAATAGTAAGAACACAGTACTTCATAGATAAATGAAGATGTACTGTATATGCAGTAGTTGAACAATGCCGAAAGAAAGGGTTTCGCTTTTGAAATATTCATCAGCAGTTGTCGTTATCCAACACAAGAGTACATGACATTTTAATTCGACAGTCCCTTAATGTACAGTACTATCCAGGAAGATGACAAAGCATCATACAAATTGCTGATTTTTTTTTTATTTTTTCCCTTTGTTATGTAAGCTTACTTATTTTTCGGGTCTAATCTGAACGAGTGTAGGGAGGAGCGTGATCCTAAATCATTTCATGCATTATAAGCAAAATGTTTTTTTTTTTGTACCACACCGTTCAAAAGCTGAACTGTAATTTTTCACTGTGAGAAAAAAAAATGTGCCGCAAAAATTTGCATTTTGCAAATTTTTGCGGCACAGTCAAACCTCTTTCGGCTGGATTTCGAGATACAGTATAGTACCAACAAGAAATTTAGAGTTCCCGAGGTTCCAAGTCGAAAGAATTGCAGGAAATCAGAATGATTTTGGCCGCGAATCGATTTTTAAATTACTGTGGTTGACAGGATGGTGAAGTTGAAGGTTCATTATTCGCCCAATTAGTCTTGCACTTCCTTCCAAAGCACATCAAGTTACATTTTTATCGCTTTTCTCTTTCCTGCCTCAATAATATAATACCTCGAAGGCCTCAAGAAAATTCAAGATACGGATGTTCGAGGGAGGAAAGGAAAGCTTATGAAAAAGGGAGGATATAGATGCATTTTGTTTCCAAGGGAATTCAGACACGGACTTTAAAAAACGAATTCGACATGAAGAGTTTCGAGTTATCGAAGTTCGACGGTATGATGAATTAACAGCAAGTTTGAGAGCTACGGAATACATAACTTCAAATCACAGTGAGACTCTTGTATAATGACAACAATACAAATTGGACCATAAAGACCCAATGGAAACAATTGAGTTTCGTATTTTCCGAGTTAACGACCCTGAAGAAAAACTACCACTAATTCAACAAATCTGTAATCAAGAAGTTGCCAGAACACCAACCCTTGCCATCAGTAAAGCAACTGAGAAAATATCTCCAGCGAATATAACACTAGGGATGATGGATTTTCCCGCGGTTCGGGAAATTCTGCGCGCACCAGAAACTCATCGGGTACCCAAAAAATATTAATTTATATCTACAGCACTGAAGCAGAAACATTTCCGAACCACTCCTCACACACGACCCTTCCATAATCCATCCGTATCTTCGCCAGATGCGAATGCGGGTCCAGCATTTCAAAACACAGCATCATCATCATCCCAAAAACTCGGTCGCCCATGACGTTGAGGAAGATGAAAATCGTACTCACCTGGCACGACTTTAACATAGGCAGTGACGACGCTTTCCCCGTAGTTGTTCTCCGCACGACACGAATACTTTCCTTCGTCCTCAAAGGTCACATTGGTCAGAACCAGCAGCGTCTTGTTGGCGCCTTTGACCTCGATAGGAACGCTCTGTGTCCATAACGTCGCATTCGATCAATATCAGTCAGGAAGAAAAAGAAAAACACGCGTTAGGCTTCTTCATCTCGCTGAAGGGAACACGTGAATGAAAATAAAGTACATGCACTTGAGGAATAGATAGAAGCAAGAGTCGAGCAGGTGTTCATGCAAGCGGACACAGGCGAGACATTCGAAAAGAGAAGCATGCAACCATCTCCAAAAAGCATTCATTTTTTTTCATGCAAAAGAAGCATGCGCTACAAGTCAACTTTGATGAAGCAAACGATACAAAACAATTACGCTTCTCATCTCCCAACAAAACCGGATTAAAATAACTGATATGCGGACACTTCGTACGTTGAATCAAGATTGGAATGCGAAATCGTCACTTGAAAAAAAAATCGAAATTCAATAGATCTCTGACGATTATAATTAATAATTCCACGCACTGTACTATATATCATGCAGGAAAATGCAATCAATAACGACGATTTTCTAGCAACTCGGGCACAAAGTAAAATCAACAGTGGACAGCAAACGCTCAACCGGACAAGTCATTCACAGATAAAAGCGAGGTCACTCAGCTGCTGCTGCAGTAACACTGAATGTCAAGCAATTCACACCCAGGTACAAGAAACATCACTCACGCAACAGCATTCGAATATATTAGGACCATTCGACAGAATCGACGTTGGTTTTCACAACAAACCGTGAATTCAATAAATGCACAGCCAAATGTATAAAATGTTTCTTGCAACACTGATACATTTTATGCGACAAACGTACTTATATGCATACAAAATTATTGGGCAACTATGAAGTTCGAGGATGATGAGATACAAAGGATGGTTCCAACATTTTCTCAGTTACGTTGCATGTACTGTATTTCTTCGAGTGCACAAGTATTTTAGTTGGAATCTGCGAATTCATTAAAGTTTTTGTTCAAATACGAGCAGCATCCCTGACATTGAACAACTGCTTTCTCACCAACGAACATTTTAGCGAAATATAATTAAATTTTATAGTTTCCTTTGTTCTTTTGGAAATACCGCTGAATACGATGAACAGTCGAGTACTTCTTTCAATAATTTGAAATATTTAGAAGAACGTACAGTTCCTGGAAAATTTTCAACTTTCGAGTATGAACTTCGTCGCTTTCGGCGGTGAGAATTCCAGACTAAACTCTTTTCAAACAGTCGAGTACTTCTTTCAATAATTTGAAATATTTAGAAGAACGTACAGTTCCTGGAAAATTTTCAACTTTCGAGTATGAACTTCGTCGCTTTCGGCGGTGAGAATTCCAGACTAAACTCTTTTCAACCCTGGACGAGAGAAAATTACAACAGTGGTTATAGGAACTACCACGGGACTCATTAAAATTAGGACGTCTTCATCTTCAGAAAAAGAATAGATGAAACGGGAAACAAATGACTGGCAAAAATGTTGAACCAATGCTCGCACGTTTCGTTCCGAAAATCCAAAAATACTCCGAAGGCGTCTCAAACGTGCAGAAACATTTCGAGATATACCAAACAAAGTTCCTGTCAGTTGAAAACCAGCGTACAGTTTCTCAAATGGCAACAAAAACTCTAATCAGATCAGATTAACTTGAGCTCGAATGATCGTGAATTTCTCATTAATTGACAATCAATACATTTGACGATTTTAATGAAGGACGGCATTACTTGTATACTGTACGCTGGTGAAGCGAACGTCAGGAACCTTGATTACTAAATCGGCTGCAAATGCAAAATGTTTTTTTTTTCTCCTGAAAATACTGCAGCTTTCACACGATCAATCAATCAATCAATCAATCACACACGTGCGGATGCAGCAGGCCAAACAAAAAGCATCGACCGTATTCGAACCTTAGGCGTGGTGTTAAACTTATCGTCGACTGGAGCTTCGTACTCCCAATACATGATATACGCGGTACTCGAAATCGCTTTGCAAGCCAGGGTCACATTCGAACCCACAATTGCAGTCGTGGTTTCCGGGGATATCGTAAGAATCGGCTTGGTCAGAACGCGTTCTGCAAAATGAACAGTTTTCCAGTTTCCATCAGTTATATAGAAGCGATGCAACATATCATATATTGCTGACTTCGCAGCTGAACACCCGATCGTTTGCCAGCAATAAACCAACATTCATCCATGAACGCGGAATACTGTACGTGAGTCGGTAAATTTTACACTGAATATCACGATTTATTTTTTTTCAAGAACGAATGAACAGTCAGCACCACGTAGGATGTACAATGAAACTCGAAAAAATTTACGTACAGTAAGTGCAAGAATAAAACGACTTGCATGCGAATTTAAAGCTGTCAAGATCAAGCTCTCGAACAAATTTATGAAGCGGTTTCATTTCTCAATAAGGATGCGACAACATTTTACGGAAATATTACGATTTTAAAATTATAATACTGAATTTACATAATCGAACATACTGCATAACTCAGTCAAACTGCAAGTATAAAGGCTTATAGTTTTTTCTCTCTTTCAAATAAATCATCATTGCTAGAAGGAATATATATGACATTACCGTCAGTTTAATTAATATTCGAGGAAAATGAAAATTCAATTTCTAATTTTGCAGCACTTGAACAGAGGCATACTTCAGCTTCTTATTAAAAAAATGGTTCACGAGATTCCGCACACGTGACTTCAAAATTCACTCAATTTTCCAAGTCGAAATAAAAAAAGGGCGTCTCGTGTTCATTTGCACACAGTGAGTATAATGTAAGAAATGAGTTTCCATCGCCAGTCCCTGTGAAAGAAAATGTTATTAACACGCTTTCATATAAACATCGCAGCACAAGCGGAATGACATTGCAATCACGTCAACACTAATCGTGATAACGAAATAAAATATACTGCATTAATAAATCAAAGAATTAAAACAAATCCCAGACCATCCTTGTGCCATGTGTGTTTCAATGTCTGCAAATCCATCCCGTGTGTGTGTCTGTGCGTGTGCAACTACAGGAAATGCTCAAAAGACCTCTCGAAAAATAAAATGATTTACACAAGGAAAAGCTTTTCTGCTTACGCCCCCAGAAGTGCGAACGCGAGTACTGGAAAATGTGCTTGTGGAATAAATTGTCACGAGTGAAGAATAGTGAAAGGATAGAAACGAGGAGAAGTTGCTGAGCCATCACCAGGATAAAGTATAACCAGACGCGATTCCTCACTCAGATTCTCGCATGACCTCTGCCACAAATCTCAAAATCTATACGGCTTCGTGAATAATATTTTCCGACCAAGAACGAAGGATCGTTCGTTCTTTTCCTATTCTGTTTTTTTTTTTGGCCAATTTTCACAGCTGTAAAATTGCAGAAACTCAAAACACTGCACTCGAACATTGCATAACCAACTCTTCCAGTCGCGATAAAATGGATGACACGAGGATTGCGAATACATTACGTAGTATATAAGAGCACAAGGCAAAACTTTTCAAGCCCGAAAAGATTACTTCAGCCAAGGTTGAGCAATAAGTTAAATTGTGTAGATTTGGTCAGTTAGAGCTGTGATAACCATCAAAGCACCGTAAACTGGTAACCGAATTATAGAAAATTACTCCATCATTAATACAGTCGAACCTCATCTCCAAGTCAAAACTTCAGGGGACTAGAAAAAACAAAATCGAGTTCGGGGGGTTTCAAGTCGGGGAAACAATAATTTTTGTTCGGAGAAAGGAAAACATAATTACAGGAAATCGGAATAACTTTGGGCCTCAAATCGCTTTTTAAATTAGTTGAAAGGATGCTGAAGTTGAAGGCTCATCTGTCCAGTTAGTGCTTCAGTTCCTTTCAAAGCACTTAAAGTTACATTTTTATTGCTTTTCTTTTTCCTGTCTCAATAATATGATAGCAAGAAAAATTCGATTTACACTGTGTACCTAGATTTGATGGAGAAGATTCTTCCGAGTTCGGGAGGTTTCCAATGCATCGTATCCTATAGTGAGTTCTTCCAGGGACTTGTTCGACACAGAAGTCATGCGAAAATCTTCGAAAACCCGCAGAAGAGGTAGGTGAAATCAGTGAGAAATAATGATCCCATCAGCCTTTTAGCTCGTATGTGAAAGTTATCAAGCAACGAAGACGACTTCTACCTTGCCGTAAGAGCAATTGCCGGCAATCTCGGCCCGCTCGCCACGGACACTGCAAGTTTCAGCCGAGGTTTCGTTGCAAAACGTCCAGTTAAGAGAAATTGGCAGATCGGAAATAATCTTGCATTCCAGCGTGTAATTTTCGCCGACCGTGAGAGTGACGCATTCCTCCATCGTCATCAATGGTCTCATCTGCAGGCGTTCTTTACACGGATCAAGGATAATGAGTCGGAATGAAAATCATGCTTTCCGGACCAACTGAGGCTGGACTTCCTTTGCGAAGAGCATTCAAAGTTTTCACGATTTCTCAGCACAGACGAATGAATTAATCGGTAATTTCTTTAAAATTATGCAGTCACGGTTATCTTTCAAGACACGACTCTTCGAGAGCTGAAAAGATTTTTGGCGCGAGATTCTTTGAAGGATAACGGGGAGCATTTCGAAGGATGGATCTCATCTTTTACTGCGGTTTCACCTGCAAAGTTTGCTCAGGTGTATTCCCAAGCAAACACTTTCTTCCCAACGGTCCTTGTATCACAAGACTGGGAGAGATAAGTTGGTTGGTTGGTTATTGGTTCAAGCACTTGTCCCTTCTACTCGTAAAAATCTTGGCGCGTTTATCTTTCGAAAACAGTCTTGAAACCTACCGCTTGGATTACTTTCGATACTCGATTACTCTCAGAACTCGAGTCATGTCCCACTCATACTCAGAACTTACATAACCACCATTTTTACAACATAAACAAGAAGAATTTCGAAATGATCGGCCAAGTCCAGTAGAGTATATGTAGAAAACTTTCGCGCATCGGTAAACTAAATCCTCATCATCGTGTCCCTCAAGCCTGAACAAGGAAAATTGTGGCGCGTTTTCTCGTTTACTCCGTACTCCAAGGATATCAAAGATAATAAAAGCTGTATAATATATGACCCATGTGTTTCTTTGTAAAGAAGATATAGTTTTTCAATAAGGGATTACCGAATTTTGGACACTGGACTGAATATAAATCATACAACGCGAATGAATCCTTATCCCTAGTCAATAGCTTTATCTGCATGATTTGTTTCTATTAATCCCAGGACTCTTTCCCTCCATCCCACTAATTTTCAATTACTACCTCCTTCAGTATTCTGCAAGATTACGTCCTCCAGAACGTCGAATACTGAAGTCTGGATTTTTATGAATGTCACAAAATTTCAAAAAACCTTCTTTGATAGGTCTATACAAAGCTTGGATCTTCTGATTCTAAGAACATGGTTCCCAGCGTGTTCAATTCAGTAACTGTCAAAGTGAATATCCAGGAGAAAAAAAAATATATATAATATATACTGTTTATATACAGTAGTTGAATAAATTCTTACCAACAACTTGAATTTCGGTCACTCGGCTGACGGATCCTAGAGTGTTGTTCACGATGCACGTGTAGTTGGCTGAATCAGACAGTGTCAAGTCCTGTAGGTACAGAGAGAATTCCCTCTGCACGTATTTTCCGAGACGAATGAAATTCGGGTTGCCATTTTTCAGCCACGTGATCTGAGATTTCGGGTTTGCTGCAACAAAAAAAAATAAAAATAATAATTCAGACCTAATCTCTAGGCAGCAACGATTAAATGTGGAATCGGTTCGTACTTTGATTGAATTTGCATGAAATCCGGAGGTTTCCACCAGCTGAACGAGGCAGGAATTGGTATTTGTACCAGTCTTTCCCTTCGATCCCGTAAAATGTTGGTTTCGAGGGGCTCGGCTTTTTCTGCAGAGCCTGCGAAAATCGAATACGCAAGTCAAGAATTTTTTTTTTTTTTAGAGAAAATAATCTAAGAAACACTCAAAACCTCACCATTGCTTCCGGTTCGTCGACAGGCGATTCCAGATCTCCCGCATAATCTTTTCGCCGAAGCTTCGACTGTTCCACATTTCCCTTAGTCCTTCTGACAAAATCTTGGGAGTCACTGTCATTGGAAGGTTTGACCGAGACAGTGAAATTGTACCAGAACATCATACTTGAGTCTGCAGTCCTCAAATCTAGTCCACAGCCCATCTTGACGCCGTCTGACACACGCAGATCCTTGATCTTCAGCCTGCATTCACGAATAAAATTCTTGCAATAACTACGCTTCTCGCTTCAAGGACTAATTTTCAATTTTAAAAATTGTTCACTACAGCATTTTTTGCATTTCAAAAAAAGCACTACAGCGGAAGTAGCCAAGTCACACTAATTTTTCAAGTCAACCTAGGAAACAAAATAAACTACCAATGAGTAAAATTTATTGCAAGGTAGCCGGATGTTTATACAGCCGTTAAAATTTTAAACCTTTCTTTAGTGGTGAAATTATTTTCTGCTGGTCAATGAAATGTTCATCACTTGAATGTAACAGGCTTTGGACCATTCCGAAGCTAACTTTTTGCCTTTGAGGATTGAAAACGTGAATTATTTTGTCCTACTAGAACTCTTTTTTTTAAATCTAAAATGGAGAAGTGCTTCATTGAAGAACAGATTGCCTTTTCACATTCGCAATTCAATAGCCCTGTATTTGAGTCAGATGTTCTGAACGCCCTTTTTTTCTTTTTTCTTGTTAGCAAAAGAAAAACGATCGAGTGTAAAATCTGTAAATCATGCGAGAGGATTGAAATATAACACACTTGAAAGTATACAAAAAACTGTTTGAGTCATTTTCGTTTGACATTTTTATCGGACAAAACGTGGTTGATGAATTTCGATTGGTTTTCAGATCAAGGATGCGCTTACCAAGGGCTTTATATTTTACTTATTCGCAATCCAAAATTCGAATTCGATTCGAACTTGTACAGTATTATACTTGAGAACAGAATAAATTATGAAAGTAGGCAAAAAAAAAGGACTTACATGTTATTAAAAGGCAGAAATCTCCCGGAACTGTGCGGAACCCGAGTTCCATTGACGTGCCAAAACACAATCGGAGCCTCTTTGCACGGACATCTGAACTTAACCGTCTGGTCTTCGATCAACTCCACAACTTCGTTGTCGGTTGAAGTTCGCCTGCTCGGACATTCCTTCAGAGTCACTTTCACAGCTTGACCTGAAACAGTGGAAAAAGAAAGAAAGAAAAATTAAAGACATTTCAAAGTCGTGTCTTTCAAATTGGTCGGTAACAAAATCTTCGAAGAGCTCGTGGAAAAAAATAAACCTGAGGTGTTTTGAGTCAAATCGGCGTGATGAGGAGAGTCAGAAGACGGAAAAAGAATTGCGCGTTAAAAGATGCTGATTCAATCAACGAAAAATACAACTATGAAATATGAATTGAATAAAAACCGCCCAAATGAATGAACACGAACGGTTTCTATGATGAAAGCCGGATCCAGAAAGATGCTTTGAATTCTAGGCTATTCTTCATTTCGTTGGCCGTGTCTGCAATTTCTTTTTCGTTAATGTACTGTATATTTTAGTAATCATTTTCTTGGTTTTCATAGTTCAACGTGTCTGCTATGAAATTAATGTTCGTAGATTTTATTGATTTTATCGGTGGTTGCTTTTTCTCAATTTTTTTTTTTTTCATTCGTCAGTTGCGGCATATCGTTCAGAGTAATTTTTCCGGGGAACCGGTAAAAAAATGTCGAGACTTTCGCGTTGACTTTTTCCGAGGAATGTCAAATCCCAATCATTTACTACGAATTCTTCCTGGCAACCAGCAGAACATAAACAAACGCGAACCCCTCCATTCATTCGACAAAAAAAAAATTATACTGGGTTCGTTTGCCAAATATACCCTGCGCCAATCAAAGAGAGAGAGTATCAATCGCTCTGCTTGTTCTCAGCTGATTTTTCTCGCGCCGGAAGCTGCTCACTCCTGGCGGGAGACAGACGGGTTTGACCTGATTTTTCTTTTCTGGTTTCCATTTCATCAGCATATTGAGCAGATATTTTAGAAAAAAACCATGGGTTTCCGGGTTCCAGATCCGTTGGGCGTTGAAACTCGATTCGCAGCAGCGCGCCGAGAGACGTTAAGGTTGTTATTTTTTCGTTCTCACTGGGCTTCGACAGCATAATTGCACAATAAAATCAATTCGACAAAATAAGTGAGTCAAAATAAAAGAACGAAAGGCCAATTGCTCTTCAAACTTGAGTTTCAGGTTCGTTTATTATTACTTTTTTTTTTACATTCAACGACAATGTCAATTGCCCCAGCCAGGTTTTCGAACCCAGCACCGAAGGGACCGCGAGAGAACGTTGCCCCGGAATAAAGTAATTCGGGCCGACGCTTTGGGTTCCCTTCCTAGGAAAGCTCTCTGTTTTTGTTACGCAAGCAACATACCGCTTTTCCATGAAATTATTCAGAATTGAGAGTTCAGGGAGAAGTGAATTCGTTGGAAACATTCATCTCAATGCGGTGTCACTAAGAAAGGGATCATTTCGAAAGACACTATGCTGTAACGACGCAGAATGAATTCAAATCAGCTTGGGTCAACAATGACAACCATAAAAATGAATCACATTCCGGCTTCAGATTCCAGTCAAAAACACTTCCAATGAGATTACAAATAAAATAGAATATACGCATCATTCTGCGAATTATTGCGTCTTCAATTGTCGGGAACTAAAAGCGTTATTAGGGGTTCGAGGGCTAATACAAACAAAACTGTTTCCCAGAAAACGATTCGTTTTCCCGGGCGAAAGGAATTCGGCAAGAATATTTCCGCAACACATCAACAAATACCGAGTCGGGAACAGCGCGCAGAAATCTGCGAAAACCGAGAATGGCAAAAAAAAAAAAAAAAGAAGGAAACACGACGAGTTTTAAAAAGGGATGCCTCTGCTGATGGATGCGTTCACGGGTACAGCAAATGAGTCGAAACCGCAAGTCTTTTGTTGCCAAGAAAAGTCTCATTTCAACAAAACGCTTTTCCTTCTTCCTCTTCCCGATCTGTTCTTACCCCCACTACACCCTCACCTTTTTTTTTTTTTGGTCTGCAAAACGATCGGAACTTCGCTTCAATTCCCACGTGAGCCCTCATCGCGGAAAGTGAGAATATATATAAATTTTTGCACTGTATTTCTGCGTTCGTTGTTCTGGAAGTCCGTTTCTTACGCAGGAAGAACACACGAAGTACTTCGAAAAACTGCTTCGCTTTTCCAGCAGAGGAAGAAAAAATTCCACAGGAACTTCCATTTTCTTTCGTAGAATTTTTTTTTTTAGAAAGAAACCTCATTTCGAAACAAAATTATAATTATCACTTCTTAATTTCAATTTATGAATCTTCAAGCTGGCGCAAGACTCTTGACATTCTGCCTGACGATAAGGAAACCACAACTTGATCTTCGAATATTTCTTGAAGAAAATTTATTTCGGCATATACAGTATATATATGCTACTGTATATTTGTATATACTTGTATTCTGCTATATATTTTTGGCAGTTTGCCTCAAATATTGAAACACGCCTTTCATAATTTCAGCAGCAACCCCGTGTACCAATGCATTGATTTTTCACAGAATTACAGAACAGTTGAAATACAGTACTGCATTATACTTGTGACGTTTAATTGAGATGGCAGACACTGTTCTTCGAAATCTCAAGAGAAATATCTGCGGAAATTGCAAATTTGAGAAGTTCAGGAGAAAGAAAACCCACCTTGACAACCCTTTCCAGGGAATTGAATAACATAAGCCAGTTGAACAAAGTTTGAACGTGTTGAGCAAATCCCGACCAGGGCCACATTTTTGAGGAATCAGTTGGAATTTTGTGCAGTACATAAGTCTTACAGAGAAAAATGTTTCCATGTACTGGTACAATTACTTCAGCGTTTAATTAGACGAGCTCAAAAACAAGTTGTCGAATACCGGCTGCCATGTTCAACAATAAGGAAACCCGAGTTTTCCCCGGCCGATAAGTACCAAAAAATAAATAAAAAACATGCATCATTCAGCAGCCCATTTCCATGGAGTGCATTCTTGAAACAGAAAACCTCTCGATCCCCTCCATTGGAAGACACAAGATTGACTCGCAGAGGAACAAGACAAGAAGAAGAAGTCGCACGAAAACAGGGGGGCCGACATCGAAAAAGGTTCCCGTGATCAGGTTTCAAGCATCTCCTTGTGTGTGTGTGTATATATACCCAGTGAAGAACTTCTCAACTTGAGATGCCTCATCCTCGTCTTCTTGCGAGAAAAAAAAGGCATGCATGCCATCCTACAATTCCCTTGTCTGCGTCTTGAAACTTTATCCGGAAGACAACTTCATTTCTACCCCAAACGTGCTGAGTACAAGCTGTGGGCACACTTCATTGTTTTTCCAGGGTGAACATGTTATTCAAGATTTTTTGTTGTTGCTTTTTTGTTTTGTTTGGGCCCCATATTGGCACTCATTGAATAACAGAAAGCAGTTGAAATGGCCAATTGGGACGGGAAACTTGGCGCATCTGGCGTTGGTCTCATGCGAAATGCAACATAGGGCTTTGTTTTCCAGCAGCTCTTCATTAATTCACGTTTAGAAGAGTTTTCTCAAGTTTTTAGGAAGAGCTTCGGGAATCAATCCACAGGAGTCTTTTTATTCTACAGTACAGTACCGAAAATGGATGTAACTTCTTCATTTTTTTGTGGGGAAAAAACGGAGAAGATACGACAGCTAGTTCCCTCCAATTTTTCCATATGCTGTTAGTATTTATAAAAAAAAACAGATGTTTATTTAAACTGAAAAACGCGAAGTTCAATTCTTTCCTTCGTGATGAACAGAGAAGCGTAATACAAAAAAATGGATCTTTCCTCCCCTTCTATTTTTCTCATTGTTGCTTCAAATTATGCTTTTCAGTTCTCCTCGAGAGAAGTTCGAAAAAGTGAGGATTACAAATATTTGATGCACATTTTATTTACTTATTTTACATTCCTTTCGTACTGAAATATTTCCCCACATCGAATGCTCAGGCTTTGCTGGTGAATTTCATTATTTCGAGACTATCATCGAAACGAAGCGCAATATATATTTTTTGGAAGCAACTCCTACTCTTTTGCATTTCTTCGACGACTTTAAATCCATTACCGGCATTTCCGTGTATTCAACCCCCATGACACAAAAAACAGTGCACATAAGAAGAGCTTCCGGGTGACCCACCCAAAACAACTGATAGCATGCAACAAAGCCTGGGGCTCACAAAAAGAGGGGGGGGGGGAATCAGTTCCTGTCGCGTTCTTTCCCTACGACATCTTCTGATTGCCAAAGCTTCGACCCCTCTTCGACAGGCGACTTTTTTTTTTTTTTGGAGGGGCGAATACCCGCACAACAAACTTCCGATGTCAATTCTTTTCGAACTGAGATAAGGAATAACCTTTCTTGTGGGATGTTTTCCTTTCTTTCGTTTTTTTGCTCCCGCGAACAAATGAAGAGACACACATATTCCGACCGGAAATCAACGCATTGAACTAATCTCGGTTTGCCTTTCAAAAAAAAAAAAATACTGCATACAGCGATCAAACAATTATTCAAGGACAATATTTTTAATTAGTGCAGCTCAAGGCAGCGAAAGGAAGTGAAAAAATTATATCGAAAAATCGAATGAAATTCTTGGAAATGATGATAGTGGAGAAATTTAGTTTTCCCATATCATTGGTTCTAGTTTAAACCGTCCGACTTTGGTACATTTTAAAGGATTTAACCTGTATGAATGGACATTACAGCAGTGATAAATGACATAATACGATTTAGCATTACTGTACATAATCGGTACAAATCATTCGATCTCCATCCATGCTAAACCTCGAACAGAAAGAATGCATTCGATTGACAACACGCATAAAAGAGACCTCGCACTCCTTAATTCATGCAGAAATCATTTCTGCAAGTTGCCAATCCTACCATGGGAAATAAAAACCGACCCAGATTCTTAAGGAACTGCCAAATTGCACGGATTATATTCTGGAACTTACTTCATCAAGATAGAAGACATTTCCCCAAAATAAGGAAGAAGAAACCCGCATTTGTAAAAAATACCCGAAAAAGGAAGCTTTTTCCTTATTTGCCGTGGGATCATCAGTCATGCAAAAAGCTCATTAACCTTGAGTTTTCACATCTATCCCGGTTTCTCCTCTCCCCAACGGACAGGTCTAAAATGTTCGCCGCCATCCAAGGTTTTTCCCACCATTTTTTAATGCCAAAAATACGGGAAAACAATGAGAAAAGAACAGATACATCACGCGTTTTCCGCTTCAACATATACCGACTTTTCCGCTGTGAGGCATAATACACTACAGCATTAAAAAAACATAGAAAAATGTTTGTAAAAATAAATCGCGTAGAACTTGGACCACTTTTTGAGGCCACAGCGAAAAGTTCCACCCGACCCCCAGGTGAGAGGAAAATAGAACTTGACAATTTTCTTCCCACACGAAAGAAAAAATTATAAAATTATTCATTAAATCTAAATAAGTTTAGAGAAACGTCTACTTCAAAGAACTATGCTAAAATGATCGCGAATTGAGACGAATCTCACAAGCGTCGATTCAGGCATTTTCTTCGTCGGGGTCTGAAATGTTTCGATAAGTTTGAGTTTTTGCATCATAAAATTTGGAATCGTCAATTTCTCGTGAACATTCAGTGAGCTTAGAAACCAAGAAACTGTATCCCGATATTAATTCGAATAAAATACATCATTAATATCATGGTATAAGTTCAATTTCATATGTTTCATAAATGGAATACAACTTCTGGCTCAGAACATAAGAATCTTATCGACACCCTAAGAATCGGAGGAGTCCGTTGATAATATCCATGCTCAGTTTGTACCAATATAAACCCCAATATCCAGGTTTCTAACTAAAGCCTTAATAATGTACTTTACATTACTAATAATCAAAAAATGACGTTCCTGAGACTCAAATTTTGGCCCGAAGATTCTGCTGCTCAGAACATATCATCATAGCGTTTCCCCGAGAATTTACGCCACCGCCATTGAATATAATGTACTGCGATACGCATCCTGTTACATAAAAAATGGAATTCAACAAAAAGGGCTTCTCACATTCGATCAACGATAAAAACAATCGTTCTTGAAAAT